TACTGTTTTTTTCATAAAATATTTCAGGTTAAAATAAACACATGCATTTCTGGGGAGAGTGAAACCTCACAGAGGTTTAACAAGTTTCCCAAAGGAAAAGATTAGTAAAAAAATTCCTAAGACCTACTTAAGAGATATTGGCGATAGCTACTTAGACAACTATGCAACAGTTACAGTACTGGAAAATAATTATAATTCTAATATAATATTTGTATTCTACCCTGATTATGTCAATAACATTTTATTTTGTGTTCATAATTCTAAAATATCCTTGAATAAGTAGGTAAATATTGTTTCCTCTTAGTTCATATTTGCAATTTAGTTTTATTAGTTTCTCTTCATAAATAAAGTTGTTAAAATATTTCGATTTGCATTAATTCAACTGTTTCTATGTTCTTGTCTCAACCTGTAATAAATGTCTCATTCCTTTGTGGATCCAGAAGGGTCCCCATTGATCCATCTGCCAGGGTTGGCAAACAAACTCCTTGAAATGATTATCCCTGCCCTAGGGTAGTTAAATATATATTAGATGATCATAAACATGAAACCATGTGTCCACATAAACAGCCTTCATCTTAGTAGTAGGTACGTTGGTGTTCAGAGAGACAACATTTAACTTGCCAAAAGACCTGAAGAAAGATGGGGAAAGAGATGTCTTAGATGGACAACTTGGTAACAGTATCAAAAGGACTACAAATAGCCAAAATTCCCTCCACAAATTTTACTGAAAGATGGAAAAACTTATGCAAAAGAATATATGGAAATGAATGCTTTAAAATCCAGCATTGTTGTGAGAAAGGAATGCTAATTATATCCATAGTTAAATGCATTGGGATTGTTAGTCCTAAGTCTTCAGCACTATAAAACTGACCTTTTTTCAAGTTGACTCAAAAAATCACTAGGGTTTCAACTTAAAACAAATCTGAATCTGCCAGGGCTTCTGCTTTCCATGAGCAGCAGGCAGGAAGTCTGACAGCCAAATCCTAAGAGCCGAGGGGCCCGAGCCATCCACCCAGTTCCTGCTAGGCTTCAAGTGTGGACTTTTTCTAGCCATTTTATTGAAAAATTGCTCAGAGGCCCCTTCTTACTCATGTTAATACAGGCATCAAGGAGAGAAAAAGCACACTCTAAGAGTCCAGCTGTCAGTTCTGTGACCCCTCCAACAATATGGATATTAGTTATTCAGAAGAAAATCACTCCCAGTTAGTCAGTCATGAATTGTAGAATCAATTAATTTTTATTTAAAAGCATGTAAAGCTAAAATATATATTTGTATTAAATATAGATCATATGTATTGTATACATGGTCAACTTTGGAGAACTTGAGTTTTTAATGCTTTTTAAATTTGTATTTTCTCTTATGAAAACAAGTAAAATATTATAATGGCCCAGCCTCATCTATGGTTCTAGGACCATAGGAATTTTCTGGGATCTAGCTTCTTAATATCAGGTTTGGAAGCAACATGGCCAATTTTCCAAGGTAATTCAGAAGAGATGGGGAAATAATCATCAATAAGACTGATCATTCGTTAAAATATCCAGCTAAGGACAGTGTTTCCAGTTAGCAAGTCTTTGGCTATTACGGACTACATGTGTAATCCCCTAATGAAATTCCTTATGTTGGGATCTAATACCAGTATGATGTCATGTAGAGGTGGAATACATGGGAGGTAATCATCTGAACTCTAATGAGTGGAATGAATGGCTTTATAATAAGAGCCATGAGAACAAGGACTTCTTTCCAACATTGAGGTCAACACAAGACAGAAGTTTTCCACGAATAGGAAGAGGACCCCTACCAGACACCAGACCTGTGAGCACCTTAAGCTTGGACTTCCCAGCCTAAAAGTTGTGAAATATAACATTTTTTTTATTCAAGCCACCCCTTCTAAGAAATTCTGTTACAGCATTCAGGACTAAAGTGTTGAACCTCAAGAAGAAGTAAAATATCTGAACTTTTCCATAGAGAATGATTATTCTCTGATTCTGCCCAGAAAAAAAAATACTGTGAAATTGAAGCAGGCTTGTACAAAATAAGTGATAGAAGTAGGGATGAAAAAGCCCTACTATCTTTATTCTCATCGACACTCCTCAGGAAGACCAATGTCTGAAGGTACTTCACGGAGCTCAAAATGAGAAGTTGGTCTCTGGCTCACCTACACTAATCTCACCATGGACACTTTTGACATGGTTAAAACTAAGTCTGTGTTCCTTTCAGCTCATGGAGTCCTGATTACATCATGTTAACAATTTCTAAGCTTTCGGTTCTTATCTGAACAAGCACTCCCTCTTGGAAGAAGCATTACTTAACTGCTCAATATACCCCTTGTCGGAGTTTGTGTTCTTATTATTGTCCATAATACCCAAAATGTCTTAAAGCACTAAACACAAAGTGCTATAAAATGTTTGCTTAGTGTTTTGTAGACTATAATATACCATGGAATCTTTGGACCAAATGAATTTTGACCTTACTCCCTACTGTGTGCTAAGTCAAATTCATAATGCTTGGCATATATTGTTAAAGGATACATAATCAATAGGATAATTAAAAATAAGAAAAAATACTAAAAATATTTCAAAAAACTGGGAAGGGCTTTGGGCTTTATGGTGAAGACTCTGTTAGGGATGCTAGAGTCCCATATTGTAGTGCATGGATGTGACTCAAATGGTTGGTATCCTTCCCCTACCTGGGAGACCTACACTGAGTTTCCTAATAACAGCTTTGGTGCTGGCTCAGTCAGGCATTTGGGGAGTGAACCCATGGATGGAAATTCTTTTATCTGCTTCTGGCTTTCTCTCTCTCTTTGCTTTTTGCATAAATAAATGAATAATTTTTAAAAGAATGACAGGAAACACTATAGGCTTAAATCATAGAAAATAAAAAAAGATATAAATAAACAAAAAAGACAGAAGGTAATAAATTTTGAAAATCCAAAGATCATAATATAATAAATGAAATAAATAATACATATAATTAACAGAAATGAACTTCAAAATTCTGTATAAAATGTTTTGCTAATATTCTAAAAACAGACTATTTATTTGAAAATTTAAAAACTTTTGAAATAAGATACATGTTTAAAAAGAATGAGATTAAAATAAAATGATGTTATATCAAGAAGCCAATAAATATATTCCCAGTAGTGGGGTTGTTGGCTAATATGTTAATTCTATTTTTAAGTTCTTGAGGAACATCAGGACCGTTCTTCATATAGTCTAAAACTAGTATATTTCCACCAATAGTATATAAGAATTCCATACTTCCCACATCCTTGTGAGCTTTGCTTTTTGATAATAGTCATTCTAGCTGCAGCGTGGTGATATCTCATAGTGGTTTTCATTTACATTTCCCTGGTGGCTAATAATGTTGAGTACTTTCTCTTTGAGAAGTGTCTTGAGAGATGACTATTCAAGTATTTTGCCCATTTTTAAATTGGATTATTTATTAACTCATTTACTCACATACTTGCTGAATTGTTAGAGTCCATTGTGTATTCTGGATATTAATCCTTTGTCAAATATATAGTTGGCAACTATTTTTTCCCATTCTGTGGGTTGTCTCTTCACTCTGTTAATTACTTCCTTTGATATTTCTGGTTTCATTTTCTGTTTGATTTTATCAACTTTACCAATTTTTCTTTTTATTGTCTATGCTTTCAGGGTCATATCCAAACAATTGTTGTGTAAACTAATGTTCTGAGGCATTTCCCCTGGGTTTTCATGAGTTAGTTTTATAGTCTGGAGTTTTATATTTTAATTTCTAGTGCCTTTTGCATTGATTTTCCTTATAGTTGAAGGTGGGGGTTGAGTAGTCTTACTCTTCTCAAGTTTAACCAGTACCATTTATAGAAGATTTTCTTGGCCAAATGTGTGTTTCTGGCATTTCTATCTAAAATCATCTGGCTGTAATCCCAGTACTGGGTACATATCCAAAAGATATTAAATCAGTATGTTGAAAAGACATCTACATACCCACATTTATTGCAGCACTATCCACAATAGCCATGATATGAAACCAAACTAAGTGTTCATCAACATATGAGTGGATAGTGAAAATGTGTACATATGCACAGTGGGATACTATTTAGCAATAAAAGAGAAAATGGAATCTGGTCATTTACAGCAACATGGATGGACCTGGATATAAAAATGCTAAATAAAATAAGTTTAAGGACATAAAGATAAACATGAAATCATTCCATGTTTGTGGAATAGAAAAAAGCTAAGCTTATAGGAATGGGGAGTAGAATAGTGGTCACCAGTGGCTATAAAGTATTACAGAAGAGGGGTGATAAAGGAAGGCAGAGGTTAAGAAATGCAGTGATACAGAAAAGAGTAAGTTCTGGTGCTCTTTTATACAAAAGAGTGATTAGAGTTAAAAGATGTTGTATCACCCCAATCAAAATAGCTATAAGACATTAGTTTGAATATTCTAATCACAAAGATGTATGTTTGAAATGACAGGTTACCTAAACATTCTGAGCTGTCACTACACAATGTAAACATGCACCAAAATATCATACTGTACTACACAAATATGTTAATATTTGTCAATTAAAATACATGCATTCAATTCTAAAGGGGTATGGCATGAAATAAATTATTTACATATTGAAAGTTCTTTATTTTAAAGTGTTAAGAGCTTGGTAGCAGAATTTTAAAAAATTAACCATGTAGGCTGAAAAGGAGATAGAAAGAAATTACTAGGAGAGACTAATAACAAGATCTTCCAAAGAGCAATATTTATTTTTCTGTGGGTGATATCATTTTGGATTTTCCTTCAGTCATATTTAAGGGTATGTAAAAATCATTATTGATTCAGATTAAATTCCTATGACTTCTGCTTTAGATGTTATTAAAACATTTCATAGCTTGTTTTAAAGATAGCTGTTATGATTCAATTGTATTTTAGCTGTTTTCTCCCAACGAGGGAAAAAGACAATGCTTTTGTGAAACCTAATGTAAGCCATAATGTTGGAAATCTTATTTTTTCTCCACAGCCATTGAACTATGAGAAAAAGAAATCATACACCCTCAACATAGAAGGAGCAAACACACATCTTGACTTTCGCTTTTCTCACTTGGGTCCTTTTAAAGATGCCACCGTGCTGAAGATAATCGTTGGGGATGTTGACGAAGCGCCACTATTTTCCATGCCTTCCTATGTCATGGAAGTCTATGAAAATGCCAAGATTGGAACTACTGTTGGCACAGTGTTGGCTCAAGATCCTGACAGTGCTAATAGCCTAGTAAGGTATGACATGTTTCAATTTTGTAGACATGTGAAAATTTCTATCACCTCTCAAAGTATTTTATATGAAAAAATAAAAATATTTTATAAGCAAAGTATTTTATTTATCCTTTTAATATGATAAATTATATTACTATTAATTTTAAGTCAGTATCTTAGAAACTTTATATCAAGGTATTTGAAAAGGTTTATGAATAATTGAGAGCAAAAGATATGTACCTTGGTACAAACACATTTTTTCATAATATTCATTTCCCATAAACTTTTTGAAGACCTCTCCTATACTTAATTCCATCAATGTTGACTGCGTATATTAATTTCTGCACTTTATTTAGTGATGTGAGTAAATTGACAGAAAATTGAGGTAGAAATACATTATCGTAAATAAGAATCTTTAGCCAGTTGGTGATAGAGACCGTGGATTCAGGGCAGAAAGTTGGGATTTAAAAAAATTACACTCCTGATTTATATGCTCACGCTCACTTTGTGGTGTTAAGAAATTAGCTATTCTTCTGGTGGTAATGATGTTAAAAATAGATTAAATGTGATGAAACATAGGTCAAATGAGAAGAAATTGAGGTCAGGAACCAACTTCTTTTGGCATTGCTGTACAAGCAAGGCCCTAATATGTATGAAAATTTTGCATTACCTATGGAATTCTGATTCTCATTCCTGAGACAAAATTCTTCCCAGCAGACAACTGGCTATGCTAGAAGACATTTATGGTTATTACAACTTGAGAGAGTCTTAGTTCAGGTTATTCTACAAATTACTTTGGGCTGGATAGTATAAACATGGAGTATTTCTTTCTCACAGTTGTGGAGGCTGGGGAAATCCAAGATTGAAACCTAAAGCTATCTGGGGCCCAGAGAAATACTGCCACCCAATTGGCAGGTTGCTGTCTACTGAAAAGAACTTGACATAAAGTAAAACAAACTAAACAGTAGACTTTAAAAACTTGAGTGCTAATTATACTCATGAAAATACATTTTGAAATATTTTGGGGGAAGTATGTGTCAGTATGCATAATTTACATGCATGCATAGTCATGTGAAAATTTCATCATGTATATTTCAATCAATGTATGTAGGAAATTATTTCTAATTAATTATCCATGATATTATTAATTGCCTCAGTAATTGCCCTACATTATTAGAACATTTAATTGAACATTCTAGGGTACATGCATTATTCTAGTAAAGAGGATGCAAAGGTGATTGGAAAATTGTCACAAAATTCAAGTACAGAGAAGCACACACCTATTAACATCTGCATTCTTCTTTCAACATTGTTCTTGTTAGACAACTAAAATGAAGCCAGTGAAGCTGCCTTAAAATAATTAGACTCCATGCTGCGGTTTGGAGGCATAATTTACATAATATTTATTCTTGATTTTAATAAAAATATGTCATTCATGTGGGCCTCTAGGTGCAAACAGTGAATAAAAAACAGAAAACATTAACAAACACAAAAGCAAGCCTTATCCCTGCACCTTTCTCAGGGACCAAATGTTTGTACTAATTAAGAAAAAGAACATTGAAAAGGTGTAGCTTGCAATGTGCCCTGAAATGCAATTAACTCCAAGTTTGTAGAATTGGTAATGAAAGGTAGTTTGAGTCCTATAGGCGTTTTTGAAAAGCTTCCTGGCTTCAATCTTTTGTTTTCTATTTTCTAAACTATTAGGAAAACTATTGCGATTTCTTAGAGCCTACCATGTTCAGGCTTTGTCTTTCTCAACTTAAAATAAGGTGTGTAATTTGTAGCATATAATCATCACCTATTTAAAATAAGCAAATAAAGTTAGTACCTATTTAGCCTGCAAAAATCATTCATTTAGACAGATTTTGCTTACTTGCTGGAATACTACAAATGGAATTTTATAATCTTACAAATTAGCTACTAAGAAATGGGCAACCCTGTGTGAGAAGCTGGAGAGTTTGGGATGTGTGACCTGGCAGCACATGAGCATCAGAAGCAGTGGGTATTCATTGCTTGCAATCTGTTGGACAGAGACTCTGTGTGTATCATTCCATAATGTGTAGTAATATTAAAGCAGTCTGTAATAGTGGCTCATTTTACAGATGAAGCTAAAAGTCAGAAAATTAATTAATTTGACCAAATTTTCAGAGTGATAGAACGGTTGATTCAGAATGAAAACACATTTTTCTTTGTTCAAACAACTTTTATGTTTTTAAAACAATATGCTTACTCTGCTATACTTCAACTAATAACAAAAAAAAACAAATTTAAATAAAAAGAAAACATCTCTGGGTTTACAAAGATCAAATCTTGCAAATTAGGGAACAAATGTTTCAGACTCAGAAAGTCACTTGTCAAATGCCAATGCCTGGATCTTCTTTTTGTATGGGTTCCCTTTACTACTAGAAAGAGGAAATGCTATCGACTTTATGCATTAAGCGTTTTTAAAATTCTGCTCTCTCAAGAATAAATCTATTACATACTTTAGAATTTAGTCATACTCTAAAGTCAAAAGTTCACACCGCTTGACTGAGTATAAGAAAATCATTGGGCCGGCGCCGCGGCTCACTAGGTTAATCCTCTGCCTTGCGGTACCGGCACACCAGGTTCTAGTCCCGGTCGGGGCGCCGGATTCTGTCCTGGTTGACCCTCTTCCAGGACAGCTCTCTGCTGTGGCCAGGGAGTGCAGTGGAGGATGGCCCAAGTGCTTGGACCCTGCACCCCATGGAGACCAAGATGAGCACCTGGTTCCTGCCATTGGATCAGCGCGATGCGCCGGCCGCAGCGTGCCGGCAGCGGCAGCCATTGCAGGGTGAACCAATGGCAAAAGGAAGACCTTTCTCTCTCTCTCTCTCTGTCTCACTGTCCACTCTGCCTGTCAAAAAAGAAAAAAAAAAAAAAGAAAAGAAAATCGTTGGAGCCCCGATAACATTTCTGATGAAGAGCTTAGCCGTTGAAAGTACAGGTATCAATATGTGTCTCTGTGTTTCCTTACTTTCTACTCTGATTTAGACATCTCATTGTTAAGAATTTGGGGGCCAGCGCCGCAGCTCAATAGACTAATCCTCCACCTGCGGCACCGGCACCTGGGGTTCTAATCCTGGTTGGGGCGTGGGATTCTGTCCCGGTCACACCTCTTCCAGTCCAGCTCTCTGCTGTGGCCCAGGAAGGCAGTGGAGGATAGCCCAAGTGCTTGCACCTGCAGGTACCAGGAGAAGCACCTGGCTCCTGGCTTCGGATCAGCACTGTGCGCCGGCCACAGCACGCCTGCCACAGCGGCCACTCAGGGATGAACCAACTGAAAAGGAAGACCTTTCTCTCTGTCTCTCTCTCTCTCACTGTCCACTCTGCCTGTCAAAAAAAAAAAAAAAAAAGAATTTGGAAGTTTTCTTCATGTCATTTTAAAGCAATAGAAAGGAAATAATAGTTTACATGACTGTTTCAAATGCTTGAGAAGACAGTACTTAGAATATAATCAATAGCATTTATAACAATAAAATTACAATCATATTTGAAAATATTGTCTGAATTTTAAAATCTAACAGATCTCCTGTTCTGTGGCTCTTTCTTAAGAAAAAAGGAGATCTATTCATTCTGAGATTAAAGTAGCCCTGGTAGATAAATGTTTCCATATGTTTGCTACATTTCTATTGGTGCGTTTCCTTTTCTCAGTACATCCCTTAAACTTCTGCATAATTTGTGATCAGAGTGGAATATCCACATTAATTGTGGATATTATTGCAGCAAAAAAATAAATACTTCAAAATTATGACAAGATTATAGATCAAATTTGAAAAGGGGAAATTAGCAAAACTATTCAGAAAGTTGAGTACAAGATTCAAAGTTTTGAAAAATGTAAACAATACTCAAGAAATATGTTTCAAAATATGTTAGGTTAAAAAAACTATCTGATATTGAAAGCATTTTTTCTCCTTAGATGAGATTTAGTTATAAAAATTAGATTACCGATAATATAGAATAGCCTAAACGATCCTCCCTTCATGACAGTATTTAATAAGCTTCCATTAAAACTGTGCCAATCTACTGAAACACATATGATAACTCATTAAGTGACTTTTAATGCACCCCAAATGGAAGCAAACACAAAGATATGCTTTAAACCAGAGTCTTTGCCCACAATCTGTGTTTGGAAGTTGTATAACTTTTACATATTGCTAATGTTAACATAACAATATTGACTAATAATTTTGCATATGCACAAGATATGACACTGGAGGATTTAAGGAAGCCTAAATATGACTAAGATAATTCTGTTATTTTATAAATGAACATATGCATTTAGTAAGCACAGTGACTGGACACAAATTGCACAGCTAATGAATCATGGAAGTTGAACAAGAAAGTGGGCTTTTCTGCATCATTCAGTAAATATATAAAAGACCTCGAAAAATCTTAGTTTAGAGCCAAAATTTATCTAGTGCCCTAGTGCCACCTTCTATGGCAACCACCCCATCACAGTCATGCACCAAGAAGAAAACTTATGTTCTGCAAGGGCATGCAGATTGATCCCTCGGTCATCCCTGAGTAGATACCTGTGTCCTGGCTTAGTGACACTCTAGATCTGCAGTCATGAGACTAAAAAGTCTAATAGCCAAATGATTTTTATATTTCAGGCAAATTTCACCAAAAAAAGAAAAATTTCATAACATTTCTGAAACTTGGCCTACTGGAATTTCTTATGTCTTAGTTACTTTGAGGGATAAATAACAGAAAGACACATTATAATTGTGGTGCAGCAGTTTTACATCTTAACTTTGTTTCACTGCATGGAGATTTTGTTCAAGCAATTTAAAAGCTTTCCAAAATACCCATGTGCTACCTGGGATGCTGGTTTTATTAAGGACTTAAGCATGGAATCCAATTTATCATGTGAGATGTGAACCTTTTATTTTACGTTTTTTAAAAGGATTGTTTTCTGGATGCACGTCTTGTGCAATAAATTGAATCCCCAGACCCACAAGGGAAACTTTAAATTTTTTAATGAATCTGAGCTCTACTTCAGG